AAAGTGTATAGACTTTATTATCAAAAATAAAAAATATTTTTGAGAACGTCTGTTTTTTGGGTTGGCAAAGGGATCAGTGGAAAGAGTTATATATTGAATTATAGATTCTAGCAATAATACGACAAGTGTTAATCATATTAAAAATAACAATATAATTTTTTAATCATATTTTAATAATAATTCTAGACCAAAAACAATCAAATGGACATCCAAACAAGTTTTCAAGCACTCCAAAAAAAGAAAAAAAAAGTATTGAATATAAACAAATTCAACAAAATCTTGCTGAATTTATTATCGAAGATAATCAACCATTTTATATATTACAAAGTCCAGGTTTTCAAAAGTTATTACAATTATTGGATACCAATTTCGAAATTCCATATGATAAAATGATAAAACTCTTGTTTACAAAAGGATATAATTGAAGCTATAATCAACTCAAAAGTTTACTTCAAGCAGATTCTATTTCCGTAAGTCTTATGACTGATTTTTGGACATCTCGAAGTAGACATGATTATATTGGAATTACTTGTATATGGATTAGAAACAATATGATAATATGTGAAGCATTGCTTGATTTAAAACAAGTATCATACCCACATACTGGAGAAAAGATAGCTTTATTATTACAAGAATCGATCAAAGAATGGAATTTGAAAAAAAAAACAATAGCAATTACTACAGATAACGTATCATTTATGGTCAAAGCACTTCAGTTAATGCCTAGTATTGAGAAAATTCCATGCACAATATATACTTTGCAATTAACAGTTGGTAAAGGATTAGCTCCAATTCAACTTTTTATATTGCAAGCCAAGCGTCTTTTGGATTTTTTTAATCATTTTCCAAAACAAATAGAAAAGTTATATCAAGTGCAAAAAGACTTTAATTTTGAAAAAATTAATTTTATCATTGGTGATGTATTTATCCGATGGAATTCGACTTTTTTGGCTTGGGATCGTCTAATTGATTTGAAACATGCTATTTCATATTTGTCAAGACATATGCAATCTGATTTGGATAATCAAGTACGATTAGATAGAAAACGTCTTGCAAAGATTATGCTAATAATGAATAAATAAAAATTAATAGAAGCTTTTCTTGAAGTACTTGAAGACTTTCAAGAGTTAACAACAATATTGAGTGATGCTAAATATCCAACTCTTAATTTAATTTATCCACATGTTAAATCCATTTTTGAAGAATTGGAAATTTTGAATGTCTTGAATGATTTGAATATTGATTTGACTGTCAACAAAATTTCTATTCCAGTTTTGAACAACAATACAAATACGATTTTTAACGAATTACCTAATTTTGAATTGCAAAAAACTGATGATATTGAAATTAATGACTATCAAGAAACACCAATTGGTTCAAAGAAAAAGAAAAGGCTCGATCTCAACATATCACAAAGAACAGAAGAAATGCTAAATCAAATAAAAAAAGAACTTTACCAGTCTCTTAAACAATATTGGCAATTTGACAACGAGTTGTCTCTTGTAAGTTGTTTGTTAGATCCTTGTGTTAAAAATCTAGAATTTTTAACCTCTGCACAACAAATCGAAATATGGAATTTAATTCAAAATATTTATAATGCTAAATTACAAATTATTCTAATTTTCAACTCTCTCATAACAAATAATCAATCAAACGAAAATACTCAAGAATTTGACAAAAACAGCAATCGATACCGCCAAAAAAAAAAACTTAGTGACAAAGTGTATAAGATAACCCCCAGTAATATTTCATTTATAAATGATGAAATTACCCAATATGATAATATGTGTCAAGTAATGCATGAGGTGAATTCATTAGATTGATGAAGAATACAAAAAAATGATTATCCTATTCTTTATCGGCTAGCCAGAAAGTATCTTAAAATTTCTGATACTTCAGTTCCTAGTGAGAGGTTGTTTTCAGATGTAGGAAATCAAATAACAGCCAAATAAACCTCTTTGAATCCATAGCTTGTTTGAGAAATAATATTTCTTAAATGAAACATGTATTTATTTGATATTTTTCCTTCTTTAAATTAAATGAGGTAAGAAAGTTTGTGGTTAAAACAATGCAATTCAATTACTAATATTATGCGAAAATTCATCATAGATTCTCCTTGACACCCACCTTACACCCGAATACTAAGGATACCATATTCTGAAAAATAGCCTTATAATAGTGAATAGCTATCTGATACATTTTAATAAAAGAAGATACCCAAATCTGTATAGGTTTGATTCTAAATGATTTATGGGTTTGAATAAAAGCACAGCCAGTTTAGTTAGCAGTGATTCCGAGAAATACAAAACCTCTCACCACACACTATATATTGCAAAAATCTTTTTCAGTCAAAAAAATTTTCTTTGTATCAAAATATTTATTCTTGCTATTAATATAAAAATATAAGTTAGTGTTAATTCATTCCAGTGTATCAATAATACTATTCTGAATTATCTAATTGTGACTTTGTTATTAGTCATTCTTGTTTTTAAAAAAAATAAAGTAATTTGTCAATGCTAGAAAATTTATGATTTGATCGTACCAATTAAGTACAATTCATATGTGTTACCAACGTGATCATATCTGAAAAATAATCGATCTTTGAATAAATATCTTCTTCATATTATTTGGGTTTGACAAAGATCGTTCGAATAAGAAAAAATATTGGTAGCAAATATTCAAATAAAAATTCTTTATTCGAATCCAACCACTATTCTGGAGATTACAATCTTAATGTCCACTGAATTGGTGTATGAATTATTGTCCAAAATTCATTTTATCTATTATAATATAATAAATAATAATCTATAATTAATATGAAAGGGAAAATTGCATGGTCATATGAGTGTATGCAATGATGATCTCAAAAATAACAAATCTGAGGAAAATGAGATATCTGTAATTTATTTCTTTTCTTTGATTTCATCATTTTATTTCAGATAGTTAAGATAGTTAAAAAATTAGATATAGCAGTAATAGTTTAGATAGTTGATATATTTGATATAATTTTTTGAGACTAGCATGTATATAAGCAAGAGAAAAAGTCTAAATAAAATTAACAAACTGCTTAACAACTATTTGTTTAAAACAACTATTATACAAATGTTTGACATTTGAAAGTGAAACTGCAATCATAAAGGAATTTGGAAGAGTTTCAAATAGTTGATATTGTAAATGCCTATTGCTATAACAGGAAGTTTGGTATAGTTTAAGTAGAAAAATGTATATACTAATGAATGGAATTGAAGTTTATTTTATAGAAAGAAAAAGGATACTCAGACCAAATTATTATGCCTCAGCTTTAAAAAACTAAGTATTAGAGAAGACTTTGAGAACCCCCTCACATTGATTATCATTATATATTAGTTGTGATTAAAATTTCGAAAAGTATTAAACTAGTATAAAACTGGTATTGAAATAATATTGATCTATATAAATTAAATTGATTGAATCTGATTTGAATCAAGTTTTTAATAATTTTATTTTAAATTAGAATAAATCAAATTGAATTGAAATCAAATTATTTAAATTTAATTTTTTTAATTTAAAAATTGAATTGAATTGATTAAATTGAAATTTTATTATTTAAATTTAATTTTTTAAATAAAAGAATCAAATCGAATTGAATTGTTTAAATTCGATTCTAAATAGAACTATTCAGATTCTTAATTCAAGTACATGACTATAAAGGTCCATTTAAGTTAATCCACTCTCCTATCTATAATCTTATCCAGTAATACTAAGTTTTATTACCAAGAAGGTAGTTTGACTTACCAAGTGAAAATAGAAATCCTACTACTAGTTTTAAACTATCTAATCTAATCTAAATCCTGGCTTTATTATTTGAAGCATATACCTTACAAGAATAATTAGAACATCCAGATATTCCAAATACTTTTCACCTAGTTCTTCAAAGAAGATACTATACTCTTTGTTACCACTTGTGACTTTGAATATTAAAATTGTTTATATTGTTGGCTTGAGACATTAGCAGTATATAAAAAAATATTTTTTAATAATGTTTAATATATTTTACTATGTCACAAAAAATTAAAATTTTTATTTAAAATATTTTATCAAAAAACTATATATAATTAATTTATTTATATTAATTAATTACTATCTCAAACTTTATTAATCAAATATTATTAAATATCAAAACAAATTCACATATTCAATATATTATATAGAAATCAATAGAAATAATATTTTTTTTGATAAAACACAATTATACATTTAATATACTTCTTAATAATTAATATAAACAATATTTTTATAATAGTTACTTCAATTACAATAATTACTTTACTTATAATAAAGGTTCCTATGGGAACATAGCATACTGGTAAATGGCTAGCACTTCTGTAAGGAGGTTGCGAGTTCAATACCGGATGATAGCAGTACAAACCTGTTGGACCAATTCGCAGGGGTCATCATAGTAAGCGTCAGTTGCCTGACTACCATGATACTATCATCTAATGGGCCAGTATAAAAAGCAGGAACCCACGTTTGATAGTCCCTGACCAGCGATAACCTGGATTCAGATCTACCTTAATATGGAGAAATGTGCTGTAAAGTTTCTCATAGGAGGTCTGGGACCTGTCGTGAAAACGTCAAGGTTGATCATCTAGGGGCTGGTGTGGCACCGGTAAGCGT